GGCAGTCGTGGCCTAATGGTTAGAGGCCTAATGGTTAGAGAATCGGACTTATAAACCAAAGGTCGCGGGTTCGAGTCTCAGTACCAGCAGGGATTGTAGCTGTGGGGGAGTGAATGTACAGCACTCTCTTCCACCCTCAATACCACGACTGAGGTGAGACCCTTGAGCAAGGCACCGAACCCCCAACTGCTTCCTGGGCGACACAGCAAAAACAAAGTCTGGGTGTGTGTTCACGTTGTGTGTGTGTACACTTGGATGGGTTAAATGCAGAGCACAAATTCAGAGTGTGAGACACCATACTTGGCTACACATCACATCACTTTCACTTCAAACTATGCAAAAGCGGTAGTCTTTCTGGTGCTCTCAGTGTCCGAATTCACTCACTTGTTTTCATTTACTCTTTAAAGTGAACTGTATTAGTGGCCTAATGTATAGGCAATAGTGAATGAGGGTATAGGGGGTGATTTTGGATTCATAGTAAGTATACAGACCCTCTTATCTCCCAATAGTCAGGCAATCCCTGTCCACACACGCAATATAGTCTACTAGTCGGGACTACGTATCCGTGTGGTGCAGCTGACACAGAACAACATGCGCTGTTTGCGTTCAGTGGATACTCTCTAAAATGGCGCTAGGGTGACGCAGAGGAGACGAATTGTTGAATAAAGTAGTTTTTTTTTTCTTTTGCGCACAAAAAGTATTCTCGTAGCTTTGTAATATTACGGTTGAACCCCTGATGTCACATTGATTATTTTACCGATCTCCTTGCTAAGTTTCTGGATGTTGATCATGGTAGTACCCTTGCTGTCTATGGGAGGGTCAGAGAGCTGTCAGATTCCATCAAAAATATCTTAATTTGTGTTCCGAAGATGAATGGAGGTCTTACGAGTTTGGAACGACATGAGGGTGAGTAATTAATGACAGAATTTTTCGGGTGAACTAACCCTTTAATGCTGTGAAGTGGGATAACGTAAGGAGATAGTTTTGAACACTGATTGGTTATGTACTTGCTTAATGATTGATTCTGGATAATTTTTTACCAAAAACATTGCAAAATGCCTATTCTACACCAAAAGAGGGCAGTTTATGATGATATGCCCCTATTAAATGCCTTTTTTGAGCTGTCATATTTAATTAAATAATTAAAACTATTATGCTTGTGTTAATTTGCATATATTGAGTGTGTGTGTGTGTCTGTGTGTGTGTGTGTGTGTTTAACCAAGGGAATCACTAGTTTTGAGTCCTTAAGTGTTTGGCTTCTGCCTCTTGTGTCTGCAGTCCATGAAGTGTAGCCTCTTCTGCACGTCTACTGAGACAGACAGAAGTGCATTTATAATCTCATTACTCAGTTGAATTTCTGATCATATTCATCAGGCTCTGGACACATAAACTACAGTTTTCTCTTAAAAGATGCACCATCCTCTGCTTACTTCAAGTTGCTTCAAGTGCAATGCTTTATTCAGTTTCTCTTAGTAAACACTGTATTTTTTAAGAAGGACCTCAGATCTTGTGTGCCACAACAAACAAGTTTTTGAAAGAACTGCTGAACTGTAGCTGCTTGGGGACTGAGAAGGCACGGGGGCCTTTTAATAGCTTAAAAAACATACTTTACACTTAAGTGTTTCTTTCCTAATCTTGTCAACTGATTGTAAACAATTTTTTGATTCACGTTTTGATACATGTGAAAACATCATCCATGAAAAATTCTGCATCCTTCTCTCAGAGACCCCATTCCTCAAGTAGTTTATTATTGATTGGTATTTTGTATGTTTTGTACGTACTGTTTTTTACTGTTTGTTTTGGACGTACTGTAATCCTTGTTGTTTACTGCAATAAAAAAAAAATCATCTCAACACTTAATCGGTTTTAAATTCGCAGAAACAATTAAGCATTTTCTCTCACTTTGAGGTTGAGTTTTCATTATGTTAGACCAGATGCGTTTCTTATTATGGTTGTGAGCTTACATTTTGTACAGAGTAGTTGTTTAGTGACGTTGTACGGACAGCGCGTGCAGTTACAGTATTAAACCCCAGGGGGCTCTAAAAGCCCAGTCACATCATCAGTGTTTGTCAAATGACCTTTGTTTGGTCATGTCCACGTATTTTTAAACTCTAGATCTTATCCTATACGATCCTATAATAGCTGTCTATTTTCAAATTGTGTCATTCGTCTTTGGTTGGCAAAATCTATTGTGGTTAACTCTGCCCACTGTTGCTCAGACATTTTGTGTAAATCATCCCGTTTATATACACGTTGTGGGGATAGTCATATCCAGTTAATTTATATATATATATATATATATATATAAATATATATAACATTTTATACTGTTTTTCAATTAATGCACAAAGTAAATACAATAAAATAGAGCAAAGGTATCTAGCAATGATGAATCCAATGAATGGAGGCAGATTAGTGCCATCCGGTGGAAAGAAAGAAACAAAATTATAATTATTTAATTTATTTATTTAATTATAATTTTTGTAATTTATATAATTTATAATATAAATAAATATTTATTAATTGATGATGGAAATAAATTCATAAATAAATAAATCATATGTAATGGCAGGGCACTAGATATAGCCCTCACTCTTTGTATATATATATATATATATATTATATATATATATATGTGTGTGTGTGGGTCAGTGGTGGACAGTAACGGAGTAGTTTTATTTTTCGTTTTATTTTCATTTTTCAAGTATCTGTACTTTACTGGAGTAGTTATATTTTGAGTAACTTTTACTTTTACTTCACTACATTCCAAAGCATAAGATCGTACTTTTTACTTCACTACATTTCATAAAAATGATCGCTACTCCTTATAATATATCACGTGCTCCGAGACGCAGAAGCGGCGTCTGATTCAAGATCAAACTGATTCTTTTCAATGAACCCGTTAAATCGGTTCGCAAATCGCACCCAACGATTCATTCACGAATTAGAATGAACCTATTGCAGCTGTTCTCGAGTCGACAACTCACTGATTCAAATGAACCGTTTAGTGCGAGTCTCCAGTGAACTGAATTCACAAGTAACAAGTAAGTTACTAATGTCGAATTTTAGGATTAATTATTGTAACTGAAAATCATATTTAGGTCAAAACTGTCAGTTGTTTGTGAACTAAATCTGCTGTAAAGGGTGATCTATTTAAGCCCACTGAAATGTTTGAATGCAGACACATTAACATCAGAGTCTCTATGTTTTAGGTAAAAAAACAAAAACAAACCCAAAACATTTAAATAACACCGACTAAATAAAATAACTCATGCACGTTCATCTTCCCCGCTGCTGTAAGGTTAAGTTTTAGTTAAGTAGCCTATATAAAATTGCTAAATAAATCTATCAGTAATTTTTTACTTAAGTACATAAAAAATCGAGTACTTTTGTACTTTTACTCGAGTAAAATTGAAAAAGGAGTACTTTTACTTTTACTGGAGTAATATTTTATTATATTTATCTGTACACTTTACTCAAGTACTTGATTTGTGTACTACGTCCACCACTGGTGTGTGTGTGTGTGTGTGTGTGTGCAGTCACTAGTTGTTAACAGTGTTTTTGAGAAATAGTAACTTACTTTTATTAATGTTTTGCATTTGGAATTATATTTAGAGATTGTCAAAGTTTTTATTTTTTATTTTTTTTGCTCTGTCTTCTTGTGTTTTGTATTTCCCATTCATTTTCTATATATGGCGGTAATTTTTGACCAGGAAGTACATGAGTGACCATTTAAGACCATTTAGCCTTTTCGAATCATGTCAATTTTGTGTGTGTGTGTGTGTGTGTTCAAAAAAAAAAAGTACAATTTCTCGATATTTTAGGGCTAAAATGACTGAAGACCACTAGAGGGTTAAAGCAAGAAAGTAATTGAGACCAGTTGAAGGGAAAAAAAGAAAAAGAAGGTTGTCATGTATGTCTGAGTGAGTAGTTATATGACAAAGTGTGAGTTATCGTCTCAGCAATGTGAGAAAATTAACGATTGTGGGTCTACTTTGATGTTGCAGACTTGTTGGGGGGGCTGGTGAACATTTGCTATTTGAGTCATGGTTTGAATCTCCCCCGCAGTAATATTATAATAATAATATCATTATCTTCTACTAATGCATCAAGAATGAATTGTTTTATGCTTCGTAAAAGCACTGCAGTTATTTGTAATGCACATTTTGCTTTACCTGTAATTCTTGACTCATCTTTATTATTTTTATTAATTCACTAGTCTTATTAGTGTACTTATGAGAGTATTGTTTTAGTTTAGTTCTAGTCTACTTGTGTTCTTTGCTACCTTTTGAGGTAGTTGCTGTCTCAAAAATAATACAGCCACTTTACAGTATGTCCTTCGCTAAGGCTGCATGTATTGTGTAGGATGATAGATGGGGTTATGAAGTAGCCATATTCTTAATAGATCTTAATCTATGTTTCCGTTGTGGGTTTTTACTATTAATTGTTCTTTTACAGATGATTTCTTATTCAAAGTGACATAAGGTACACTTACTACAGGGAAGTCCCTCTGGAGTAAACTGGGGTCGATGCGAAGTGATGGCTCATGAATTATTCTTCTCTTTTTTTTGTGTGATTTGAAACATATGGGTTATCGACCTTGATCTTTAACACCACCCCAATTATGAAAATTATTAGTAGTAATGGTAGTAATCTACTGTTCAAATATTTTGGGTTAGTAAGATTTTTTTTAATACATTTTAAACATATTTTAAAATATGACTTTGCATAAAACGGTTGCATTTGTGACCAAAAATATTAATCTGCGAGTTATGATTTTGCTGAGACTATATAAATATACATGTTATGACTTAAAAATGTGCATGTAATGCCTTTTTTCCTGCTTGTTTTGCAATCACATCTTTTGTTATGTTGACGTAATAAAATGAGACGATGTGCATCAAAGTTTTAGTGGAAAAAAGACTTTCAAATAGTCCTCATCTCTGCCGAACACCAGCGTTGATAGTACACCTGCTAAAAGCAGCTCCAGTTGTGGCAGCATGAGAGAGAGAGAAAATCAAGGAGACGTGCAAAGTAAAAGTGCAGAAAAGCAGTGTCTATTTCATGCACAACCTGAGCAAACTACAACAGGCAAAGCTGTCAGCTGAATGGACATTAACAATAACCTGGTGTATACATGATAAGAAAAAAATGCAAGGAGCTAAAGAAAAAATTCAACACCTGCTATATAATTGCATGTTACTAATGAAGAAAAACAGACTGGATGTGTGCAAGACATTTGACAACATTTATAGGATGCATTGAGGAGGAGCCCAAACTACACTCAATGGCCAAGTGATGCTGACATAGTTATGGTCCATGATATTGGCACAGATTCTGTGTAATAAACAATTCTTTGTGAGTGTATATAGTTATGAAGTTGGAAAAGACGTTTAGTTCCCACTTTCAGTGAATCAAATCAAATATATTTCAAATTAATCAAATTTCAAATAATCCAATTTAATCAAATAAATAGTTTTGGTGAGCATAAGAGACCTCTTTCAAAAACATTAACAAATCTAACTGACCCCAAACTTTTGAATGGTAGTGTATGCTATTTAGCAGATGATATTATCAAAGCATCTCACAGTATCTTTATTACAGGGACAGTCCAGCAGAAAATTGTGGTGTTTTCAATCTGGCAACACACTTACAGGTCCTGAGCTTTGAAAGAGAGGTTGCCACTATATTTCACTGGGGTTACATCTGTTTCCCGCACATGTTTTCTTGTTCTTGGGGCAAGAAATAATGTGTGGGGGGAAATGCGTTGAATTACCAGTTCCCGCAAGACTTATGAACTATGAAGGAGTGGGTGTATAGGTTATTTAACACCCTAAAACATTTATTGGGCTGATTTGTGAAACCAAACTTAAGAGATTTTCCCATGTATTGAATTTATAACTCACTCACATTTGCATAGAAATGCATCATCAAAAACACCCATTTTTTGTGCCCCGTAAGTCTTTTTCTTAGTAATCAGAGTTAACTAGGTCACTGGTTTAGCCTTCTTTGACACTTTGCTAATTTAGTAGTACAAGTATGCTTAGCAGAGTAGTTCAACCCAAAATGTAAATTCTGTCATCATTTACTCACCCTCATGTTGTTGTTCCAAACCTCTATGACTTCTTTCCTCTGTGGAACAGAGATATTTTGATAAATGGTGTTGTTTTTTTTTGTCTATCCAATGGAAGTCCGTGGTAAACTAAACTCTCTAAACTAAAAGTCATTCAGGTCAGGTTTTGAATGACATGAGGATGAGTAAATGATGAATTTTAGGTCAGTTAAAAATCCAAATTTATTATTTATTTATTTTTGGAGACATATTTATTCACTATTAACATGGACAATGTACTGTGCACTTTCCTGAAAGGAAATCTGTTTAAAACATGTATAATTACATGAAAACATTATAATAGTGTTAATAAAAATTAATGATGACCATAACTGTAATAGTGCCATTTACAAGTGTTAATGTAAGTGATTGGATGAATTCATATGTAAGGTTTTACAAGTAGAATCCAAAGAAAAACACATGAAAAAGTTCCCATGACATATTCATATTCGTATCTACTAACAAAATTTGTTTTTGCTTTTTTTTAATGATGGTACTGTTCATGACATCATTTGATGTGCTAAATGCATCTCTGACTGAAATACTACCATTTAACCATTATGGAGTAAAGAGGATGAGATCAACTACAGATACACAGGGCTGCACGATAAATCATGCGATATTTAATGCGCATCTTGTCAGTAAAGCCGGCTCTGTAATCAGCGGTAAATCTCCAGTACGTGCGTGCTTTCACATGGAGCAGCATTTACTACACAGAGTAGTTGTTCACTGACAAGCTGCTCAAAACCACGATCTACACTATCCCCAAGTTTGCTTGCAAACCACTAAAGCTAATAAACTTTAAATAGAGCCCTTTTTCTTCATGGTTTGGTCAATGATAGTCTAAAACAGATTTATTTTAGGCATTTAAAATTTGAGGAACTGCTTAAAAAATATAGTAAATGTAAAACTGTGTGTTTTGTTTGAATCCAGTGCTTGTCATTTTATAATTACGTGATATGACAGTGCAATAGTAATAAACAGTGTAAGAACATTTTACAAGTTTGTCTGGCTATGATGATGACAACTTTATTTATTTAATTTTTTTTGACAAGAGGTATCATGACAATCTCACAGACGTGTCCTTTACTTGAGTGGGAAGGATGTGGCCAACCAAACCACCCCCACCCTGACACTTTGTCACTATTGACGTGTATTAAATAGTCTTTAGCTGCAGAGGAGAGTGACTATAAAGCTTTGACTATAAAGTGACTATAAAACTACCAAATACTTTAAAACACCTCCTTATTAAAGGGTTCAACATCATTAATAATTATAATTATTAAAGCAGACATGCAATGATACAAACAGACACCAATTAAAAACAATGTTCTACTGCTTGTTTGATGAAGTCTTTTTCTTGGGGCTCAAGAAATGTAGTTTCTACACTTATGCATTCTTTTTTATTAAGCATTTTTAAAGTGACTCAGGCAATATATATTGACTTTACTGTTCATTTCAGGTGATGAAACCCTCCTAAACCAACCAGTGAGGCAGTATGCTCGGCCCTCTAGAAAGAAACAAGGAATAAGAGAAAAAAATTAAACCTCTACATACAATCAGTTTGTTAGCCTGCCTGTTTGATATCAATTTTTAATAGGATTTATTGGCTCTTTGCTTTATTTTCTTCCTAGAGTTCCCAAGTCAGCTTCAGGACCTGCATCCATCCTTGCTGAAGCATGAATATGCATCTGTCCCACTTGCACAATCGTATGGTTTTGTTTTTGTACTCTCCATATTGACCCACTCATACTTGTGTAAGACTATGATTGTATGTTTGGGATTAGGAAGTACATAATTTCTTCAGACTTCCTTTGTGTGCTTGAATGCAGAACGGTAGCAGTATTATGTCATATCTTTGCAGGGTAGATGATGTGGTGAAGAAACTGCTTATGCTGGAGCTTGCAAATCATGTATGGGTTTTCATTTCCTTTTGATTCTTTATTTAAAGGTGCTGTATGTAGGATTGACACCGAGTTGTTGAACTAGGCATTACAGTCCAAATTCAAAATATTGGAGAGGGTTTTTTTCACCCGGCCCCTCCTCCTCAGACTTGAGGCACACGCAGGTTGCCAGATTGACGACGCCAACAGGAACGAGCGCACTTGACGATGAATGAAATTAAATACGCCGTGTTTTCTGCCAACCGGCAACCCGGTGTGCTGGAATACAATTGGGTAAACTGGCAGTGGGCGGGTTTCACAAACCAAAACAGAGACCGACATTCCGGCCCGGAACACACATTTTCAAAGGAGAATAACTGACTGTAGCATTGTTTTTCAGATACACAAGTATGTTAACTTAGCATGTTTCTTAAATATCTGCAAACATATTATGGTATTTTTATGCTTTAGTAGAGTCAAAAACTTGCATACAGCACCTTTTAATATTTTCATAATTCAAAATAGGATGGAATAACCTCAGCTGCCTTGCATTTATGGTAGCTTTTTATTTTCTAAGTCACGATAAAAAGATGTTAGCCTGGTTTCACAGTCAGGGCTTAGACTAAGCCACGTTTAGGCCATAGTTTAATTAGGATATTTAAGTATCTTTTATAAACGTTCCTTAGAAAAAAACCCATTACTGGTGTGCATCTTGAGACAAAATAATGGCACGGATATATATTAGGAGTTTCTTTCAATTATCTGTCATAATGTCTTCCTTTAGAGTGAAAAACTTTGTTTGAAAGAGGAACAGCTTATTGCCAAGGTGCGGAGGGATGAGAATGACCGCAGCTCAACAGAAGTCAATGGCAAGTTCTCTTTTTTAAAAGTTGACAAAGTCACTGCTTTAACCATACTGGAATCTCAGAACATGACTCAATCATGCGGAATGTACTTGTTTGCATTACAGTGGGGATTTTGACAGCGCGTATTCGCAACTTCCAGGAGCACTTGCACAAGCACCCTAAGGTAAACAGCTTTTCAGTAGCATGACTTTTTTCGGCCTTTAGTAAAGGTGTCAGAACATTTGTTACTACTCCACTTGATTAATACCCACAGACTCAAACAGGATATCCTGTGCATATGATTGAAGCATAAACACTACCGTTCAGAAGTTTGGGATCAGTACTTTTTTTTAAAGAAATAAATAGTTTTATTCAGCAAGGACACATTAAATTGATCAAAAGCAATGCTGTTCTTTTGAACTTTCTATTCATCAAAGAATCCTGAAAAAGTGTACCACAGTTTCCATAAAAATATAAATCAGCACAACTGTTTCCAATACTGATAATAATAATAATAATAATAATAAATGTTTCTTCAGCACAGAATCAGCATAATAAAATGATTTCTGTCGGATCATGTTACACTGAAGACACTGAAGAAACAGCTGCTAAAAAGTATAATAAAAATAAATTAACGTTTACATGAAATAAATTAAAATAGAACAATTATTTTAAATTGTAATATTTCACAATATTACTGTTTTTACTGTATGTTTTTTATCAAATAAATGCAGCCAGACAAACAATTTAGATGTCTATTCTAGTCGTCTCTTTCCTGTCATATTTCTTTAATGAAAATGTTCATAGTTATTGTGATAAACGCTGCTTGAAAAACTGAACTTGACAGGAAATTACTTCTTGCCTTCCCCAAATATTAACTTTAGACCGGATGGTAAAATGTTATTGCAAAAATAGCTGAAATAAGGAAGTTAGTCGTGGGAAGAGCTTTAGAATCATTTGTTTGCTGAAGTCATTTTATTTCATATTCTGTTTAAGGATATAAATCCTTGTATATGCTAGATTATATGAACAATTGTAAACACATTCATGTCATAAAGCAGTTTTCTGCTCCTAATCCTGTTATTTAAAAGGATAGTTCACCCAAAAATCTCACAATTTACCCACCCCCATGTTGTTCCAAACCCCTTTTGTTCATCTTCAGAATACAAATAAAGATATTTTTAATATCCTCTCATCATATATATATCCATCCATTAAAAGTCCATGCAACCAAAAGCAATCATGTCTCTTTAGAAGACTTGCACTAAACTGCTTGATTCATACGTATTACTTTTACATTGGATTACTTTTTGTACTTTTTAATGCGTCAGGGTTTCGGTTGGGTGGACTTTCAATGGATGGACAAAAAGGATGAGAGAATAGTAAAAATATTTTCATTTGTGTTCCTGAAGATGAACAAAAAAACTCTCCTGGATTTGGAATGACATGAGGCTAAGTAAATTATGACAGAATTTTCATTTCAGAGAGACAAGTTAGTTCTACAGCATAACTCGTTTGTTATATTACATCAGGATAAAGCCAACAAAAGATGGATGCTCATGGCCATCGACAGCAGGAAGAAAAAGCTGAAGTTTCTGAGAAGGACCCGTTATGATTCCTTCGAGAAGGTGTGTCAAGAACTTGGAATCACATACACGTTCCCTCCTGAATATTATCGGTGGATCACTCGACGTTGGCTGGCAAAAAAGGCCTTCTGCAATAAGGTAACGTTCTCAGCTCAGCCAAAATGTCCCAGTGGGTTTTTTTTTTTTTTCAGATTTCAGGGTTTGCATTTCAACTGTTGTTTACATAGTATTTTCTTCCTCTCAGGTCTTTCAAGAAGTCCAGAAACAAAAAGCAGAGCAGAGAGAGAAACAGAGAGCAGCAGAAGCTAAGGGAAAGGAGCCAAGATCCTATACAGAACCACAAGGAACTGTGGCGTAGAGATGTTCAGACAGCTGACAAGACTCGTGTACTGAAAAGTCCAGAAGAACAATCTGATACATCCTCTTTTGATTCATACTTGGCTTTCAAAGAAAAACTAAAAAGAACCATCATGCTCCACATCAAATTATCTGCATGTTGTCATTTATTTTTCCTTTTCAATGGTAAGTCACTCTCTGAATTTTTAATAAAAGATCTTAAAATGTATTGTTTGGTCATCATTCCTCAAAATACTGATAATAAAAATAAAAAACATACTGATAATTATATCTGAATAACTTCACAGAAATCCTTTGATGATATTAGTTTCACATACTCATGAGTTTTGGATTGGCAGCTGATGAAGGCCTGTGTCATATGCAAGACTGATGCATTGTGGTTGTGCGGCTAGTGCAAGTGGTTTGGCTGCTCTCAGTTCCCTGAACTCTGTAATTTTACAAGAAATGCATGACAAATCAGATGAATGATCTGAGGTCAAACTATCAGTCCTTTAGTCATGTGAGATTATATATTGATTGTTAAGAAGTTTGGTAGGTCACATTTCCTATTACATCTCAGACCTCCCCCTTTGTGATGTTCTTTGTGTGAAGCTTATATGCGTGAATCGGAAACGTTGCATACGAGAGTAGCAAACGCGGTGTGTTGGTGTGTCTCAACTTCCTTTTCAGCTGCAAGCCCCAGATCAAGAGGCTCGGAAGAACACGAGGTACTTTTTCGTAGTCTACTATTTTGTTATAGTCATTTTTATGAATTTTTTTAAAGATAAAAATACCACTTTCATAGCCTTAATCTCAAAGCTGTTAGTTTCTTATGTTGTAATCAGCCATATTTATTTAATTGTTACATGTTGGTGGGATATAGACTATAAAAATCTGTTAAAATAACCAGAGTAATTAGATCTGGTCTGGATTTATTTGTTTTTCGTAGACAAAAACCTATTTTTACATATCAAAATATGTATGGGAATGTAAAATATTTCCCCAAAAATGCATTTATTTGCATATACAGTACAAATTTTGTACAGTACTCACTTTTGTACTCATGTACAGTACACATTTTGAATGAAATGTGGGAGAGTAAATTATGACAATTTTCATTTTGGGGTTAACTATTCCTTTATGACACAAAACACCCAAAAAGCAGCATGGAAAATATTATGAAATAAATCTTTTCTTTCTAAAATGGTGATTAAATGGTAGTTTGGAAGAGTCATTTTTGTGTAACAATTGACAGATATGCATTTGTCACTCTTACAAATCATCTAGGGAGGAAACCTCTCGAGCCATATTCTCATTTTTGCTGGACTACTCATTTCGACTGACATGTCAAACCCAGTCATCACTCAGCCCGGTGCTGGATCGTATGGTACAAATGTGCAGACTGGAGAGTGGAGCACCGGTCTTTGTTCTTGCTGCAGTGACCTACTTGTCTGTAAGTTCTGAGAGCAGTCAGCAAATCATCTGAATATGCAACCTGAACTTCAAAGATGCCATTTTATTGGCACATTTTAGCTGTGGTTTAATATTTAGCCAAGGAGGATTCATAATGTTAGTCAGTTTACTGCTTTTATCAGTGGCAGAGGCACGTCGTCAACATGTAATGCATGATCTTTGAGCAATTTTTTGCATTCTTCCATTGTCTAGGTGCTCTTGGCTGCATCTGTCCAATAGCTCTCAGCTGTTACACAGCAAACAAGTACGGTGAGAATGTATGTCTAGCATGTGTACCTGGTGGAATGGCTGCAATGAGGACACACATGCGACTGACCTATGGAATACAGGTAATGTATACTACAAATTAAGGACTGGATTTCCCATGTTGCATATTTAAGAATGATTATCCATTGCTGACTCCACTTGTTTTGTACATATTATACAGCGTCTTTCTTTTTTAGTTGGCTTTTCGTAATGGGTAAAAGGAAAAAATCACTTTCAAATGTTTATTTTAGTACACTTTATCTATTTCCATTTGTAGATTTCCTTTAAAATACATGTTTTCTCAAACTGAGTTTTTTCTTATGCACTTACCCAGATATCTCTGGAGTTACATACTTGCACATCTATATTCTGAAGGCTTTGACAGCAGGGTTTGTTCATAAATCATTTGCCTCGTTTTATATTTTATTCCTAAAAACATGGTCAAAATGTCTTTCTTTCTGGCTATTGACAGTATTTTCTGATTTATGGAGTTCTAAAAACCTTTGACTTTAATAGGTTAACAAAATGAAGTAATAATGTTGGACCCAGCTTTATCTAATGTTCAGATTTGTTCTGGAAATGTATGCAAATTAGTACAATTTTAATTAGATAATGCCTAATTTTCACATTTAAACACAACATTTAAAAAAAAATGTGTAACAAAAAATATGAGCAATTCTTAATGTCATCAATCACCTGAGGAAGTATGGCGGTATTTATAAGTTAATTGTCTTGCCTTAAATATATATATATATTTTTATTTTAATTATGCGATAGATTGTCCATAGAGTGCCCCCCTAAAAAGATCAATGTCACAGAAATAAAATATAATAAGTTACAAATAAAGCAAAAGCACACTTTTCTAACAAAACATTTTACAAAAATTATTTTGTGGCTTTAAATAATAATAAAAAATATTATTCAAAATACACTGAGAAAAAAAAATTCATCCATTCATTTTACGTTAACCCTAAAACACAACCCACTGCAGTACAAAATTTTTGTTTTGTAACTTTTGTTTGTTACAAAAGGTTTGTTTTTATGGTTTATGGGGACTCTCCATAGGTGTAATGGTTTTTCTACTGTACAACCCGTATATTCTATTGCCCTACACCAACCCTACCCCTAAACCTACCCCTCACGGGAAACTTTCGGCATTTTTAGATTTTCAAAAAAACTAATTCCGAATTATCTATAAGCCTTTTGAATTACGGGGACACTGAAAATGTCCTCATAAATCACCTTCTCATTGTAATACGTATGTCATACCCATGTTATTATACAAATTTGTGTCCTCATAAACCACATGCACACACACACACACACACACACACACACAGGTTTGTTTTTGTGAAAAGTGGGGACATCCCATAGGCGTAATGGTTTTTCTACTGTACAGACCGTATATTCTATTGCCCTACACCAACCCTACCCCTAAACCTACCCCTCACAGGAAACTTTGTGCTATTTCAGATTTTCAATACACTCCATTCTGTGTGATTTATAAGTGTTTTGAAAAGTGGGGACATGGGGTAATGTCCTGAAAAGTCACCTTCTCCTTGTAATACCTATGTCATACCTTTGTCATTATACAAATGTATGTCCTCATTTGTCACAAAAATGCACGCACACACACACACACACACACACACACAAATCAATACATACAATTCCTTCATAGTAATACAGTACATTGATCCATATATTTATGGATTTTTTTAGAATGTCCTGTCAAAACACAATAGATATACTGTGTCCAAATATTTTGAGGGCCACTATATATTAATATCTAAAAATCAAGAATGTTCCCAAGAAGTTTTGACCATGGAGGTTGTCAGTACATTCAAACCTTGGAGTTTATAAAAACTGGCATGTCAAATGGACAGTGCATGTTCAAGTTACTTCTGTTGCTGGCAACACTGTGGCTCAATTACATTTGCTCAACAGCTTGTCAGTATCATGGTTTCCTGTCTAATATACGTTCCTGTATCAGGGTTTCCTGTGTCTTTTTTGCATTCTGAAATATTCTTAATGAACTTAACTTTGCAGTTATGCCAACATCATACTTTGGTATCAGATGCCACAGAGGTCAAAAAACAGAATATGATGCTTGTTGCTTGCAGATGTGATGTATACATGTAGCTTATACTGTACCTGCTCTTTAGTTAACTTCCTCCATGGAACATTTTAAATAATGTCCTTTTTGATTTGCAATCTTTGTAGCAACTGTAGCAGATTGGCTAGAGGAGGACAGAAAAAGAGGTATTGTTAACATTCTGCTTGCTTTGCTGCTGGCCGTAGAGCAAAGTAGCGTGCGTGTGCACATGCCAGCTCTCATAGGCACTCGCTGTGTAGAGGGAGTTGGGGTTTCTGTGCTATTTTAATTGTAATTTGACATTTTTTATGTTTTTGCGTGAAAGAAAAAAAAGTACTATTGTACAATAAGAACCCCAAAGATTCAAAAAGCTTGTACAGTTATTTTTTGGTACTGAGATATAAATGAAATCCTCCATATGGCAGTATATGTTTCTAGCACTTGTGTTTTCCTCAGTCAACATTTGATTACGGTTTCCAGCACAACATCATACTTTGGTATCAGATGCCACAGAGGTCAAAAAACAGAATATGATGCTTGTTGCTTGCAGATGTGATGTATACATGTAGCTTATACTGTACCTGCTCTTTAGTTAACTTCCTCCATGGAACATTTTAAATAATGTCCTTTTTGATTTGCAATCTTTGTAGCAACTGTAGCAGATTGGCTAGAGGAGGACAGAAAAAGAGGTATTGTTAACATTCTGCTTGCTTTGCTGCTGGCCGTAGAGCAAAGTAGCGTGCGTGTGCACATGCCAGCTCTCATAGGCACTCGCTGTGTAGAGGGAGTTGGGGTTTCTGTGCTATTTTAATTGTAATTTGACATTTTTTATGTTTTTGCGTGAAAGAAAAAAAAGTACTATTGTACAATAAGAACCCCAAAGATTCAAAAAGCTTGTACAGTTATTTTTTGGTACTGAGATATAAATGAAATCCTCCATGTGGCAGTATATGTTTCTAGCACTTGTGTTTTCCTCAGTCAACATTTGATTACGGTTTCCAGCCCGCTTCTCTGCGAAAACATCTGCCAAGACAATAAAGCTTGGTTTGTAACTACATTTTGATATATGTTATTTTTGTTTATCAATCTTTCTTGGCAAACCAGCTTTCTACAGTACAGACTGCATTGTGCTTGCTTGGTTTTCAGCTTCATATTTCATCACTGCAACTCTTTCTGTGTGTTTGTGTTGTGATAGTTATGAATGATATCATTACCACCATGTTCAATAAGAAGTTCCTGGAGGAGCTGTTCAAACCACAGGAGCTGTACTCCAAGAAGGCCCTGAGGACAGTGTTTGACCGACTGGCTCATGCCTCCATCATGAGACTCAACCAAGCTAGTATGGACAAGGTGAGGACTAATGTCAAGGATGCATTGTCATTTTCTTGAATGAATTGTTTGCAAATCTTTTAGTGCGATCCTTGCATATTTTTCTAGTGAGATCTTTTTACAAATATCTCTTTCTACACCTTCTTTTGAATCATTTTTTTCTTACTTTTGAAATGTGCCAAAGTTATATAGTAACTTCTGTTCACTGAAATTATTGTATTTTGAGCTTTGCTTTAAAATTCTCTTTAAATATTATTGTGTTATAACAAGCGGAATAGTGTTGAATGGCTCCCTCTGGTGAGCAATATGATGAAATATGTAATGGCTTCTTTATTTGAGCACTCATATTGTGCTCTTTTTATACACAGCTCTATGATTTGATGACCATGGCATTCAAGTATCAAGTCCTGCTGTGTCCTCGCCCTAAAGACATCCTCCTTGTGTCCTTCAACCATATGGATGCCATCAGGGACTTTGTGAAAGACGCTCCCAGCATCCTCAGCCAAGTGGATGAAACAAACAAGCAACTCATAGAGGTAGCAGGGTCTCTGTGTAAAGGCACTACTTACAGACATACATTTTCAGGTTATTTTCAGTTATTAAATATATATATTTTTTGATTGTCAATAACGGTTCATTTTAATATATATGTTATTTTATAGTGTATTGTTTATATTTATATTATATAATTAATATTATTATTATGTTTCCATTGATAGGAATATATGAATAATATATGATAATATTATTATTTAATATTGTAACATTATATATACATTTTATGTTAGATGTTTAATATTATTATTAAGCAATTATTTTGCTATCATCAGCTCCACTCTGATTTTGGCTTTGAAAGTGTCTTATCTTTTGCTTGTAACTCCTAGATATATACCCCTTTATCTGGTGGAGAGTTTCATCTAATTAGACAAACACTCCTCATCTTCTTTCAAGATATGCATATTAGAGTAAGTCTTTTCTTTATTTTGACATGTACTTTAATACAGAATTCTCAATAAAAACTCAATTAAAAGTCCAGTAATACTGGTCATGTTCATGAAGGTGAAGAAAATAATAATTTTGACAATGCTAACATACATTTAAATATGATATGAAACTTGTTTTTTAGGTATCAATTTTCCTGAAAGACAAAGTACAGAACTCCAATGGGCGATTTGTTCTCCCCGCATCAGGCCCTGTTCCGTATGGGACGCACATCCCAGGACTCATAAGGTCAGCAGGATCAGATTCTGCTTCTGTTCCTGGAGTTAATGCACATCAATACATTTTTCAAGTATTGATGTGACTACAGTAGAGCATTTAAAAGGCTGAGAATGGCAGGATTTGATTTAAATGTTAGAAATAAATAGCCTCTAAATTTATAGCTGAAATTGTGCATACGTTTGCTCTGAAATCACCTCCTTCATTTAGAACTGACAGAGTCTGACGTTAAGGGTTTAGAGTTAATTGCATTATCAAGACACTTGGACATTTTCTAAATATAGCAGGGTCTGTTCTTAGACTGTGACAGAAAGCAGTTATTTTAATAGAGGTTAGTGGTAGTTGACATATAAGATGTCCATGAACTATTTTTTATCAACATCATGATTTAGATTTAAAATTTGTATATGTATTCTGTAATTGGTCAGCTTTTCTTTTAAAAACATTTTAAAAGTACAAATATTGCATCTCACAATCAATTAACATAATGTCATAAAACTTCATGTATAATAATTATTAATATTTTCTATGTTAATTCCCAGGATGTTCAGCTGTAGTGGTGAGGAGGTGAGAAGGATGCAGTTCCGGGACGGTGGCAATTACAGTGCCGCTCTCCGTGAGGGTGCTTTTGAAATGTATGGTGATCGAGTAATCAAACTGGGCACAAACATGTGAGCATCAACCACTTTATAATAACACTCACTTCTACTAATATTCAATAGTGGAATCATATGACTCACACCTTCTGTGTATCTTTAGATACCGGGGTGTAATTCATCACGTGTTAAGTTTTATCTGCTGCAAAGCGCATCTCTAAATTATTATGTGAATAATTTAGCTGTAAACCTGAGCCAGGTAGCCTTTCACTGGAGCATCAGCTGTACAATTGTCCTATTTGTTCTTTCAGGTACAGTGTGAGCCGCCCTGTTGAGACACACATGTCTGGAACCTCCAAAAACTCCTCACAGCACACCAAGGTAGGATTACGAAATTGATTATACTTTGTAGTTGAAATCTAGTTGACATTGATCAATTGTATCCTTTTCACATATGCAGGTCTCTTTCAAAATATTTTGAAATGTTGGTTCATTAAATAGATCATAAAAACTTATGGTTAAAAAAATGAATGTAATGCTGATGTAATTAGCATGCATATTTTACAAAACTCATGCACTTCTGAAGGTCAACACAACTCCGAATCCTTTGGCAAAAGAAGAGCTGAACCTGCTTGCTAGACTAATGGGAGGTCTGGAGGTGCAGAAATCAACTAATACTGACTCTGGCTTCCGTGTGAACCTTTTTGCCACTGACGAGGAGGAAGAGTGAGTCTTTATTTAAGTTTTGAGACTTTTTTTCTAAAGTCAAAATAGAATCTGACTAGACTCACTAATAGATTTAAGGCTGCGTCTCATTGGAACAAGGTGTGGTATTTCACCTCAAAATAAAAGCAAAATTATGCCATTTGAGTAATATGTCTAGACATTTTATTATTTATTTATTTTTCTTAATATTCTCAGTAATGATTCTCATAACTGTAATACAGTGATTTGTTTTTTTTATTACATTGTTTCAGCATTGTATATATTACCGTTTGGGTAAGATTTCTTTCTTTCTTTTTAATTAATACTTTTTTTTCAACATGGATGCATTAAATTGGTCAAAAGTGACAGCAAAGACATTTATAACGATAAAAGATTTATATTCAAATAAATGATGTTCTTTTAAATTTCTATTCATCAAAGAATCCTAAAAATGTATCACGGTTTCCACAAAAATATTTAGGAACACAGCTGTTTTCAATATTGATGATAATAAGAAATGTTTCTTGAGCTGCAAATCAGCATATTAGAACGACTGCTGAAAATTCAGAAATAAACTGCATTGTAAAATATATTCAAATTGAAAACACTTTTAAATTGTAATAATATTTAGCAATATTAATATTTTATTGTATTTTTGATCAAATAAATGCATACTTGGTCAGAATAAGAGACATGTTTTTTTTAAACATTCTATGATCTTAAAAATCTTAATTATTCCAAACTTTTGACCAACAGTGTCTATATGCAGTTTAATATATGTGTGTATGTATATATCAAAAATTAGCTTTTAAAACATTTTCTTCATGTAAATATAATGGATTACTTTTTTATTGTGGAGTAAAATGTGACCCTCCCATGTTCTTGACAGGTTCTGTGAGTCAAACATCACTGTATTTTTTTTTACATATCAGTGAATTGGATGCTGTTCATTTTGCATGAGATTTCATACAAATATTGAAATACAGCTTATCCCTACAGGGAAGCTTTAATATCAAGACCGGATGAGCTTTCCTATGAAGTTATTAATATCCAGGCAACAAAGGTAAGGGTTAATGTTTGTATGCTTGTACAGTAATACACTTGTGCTGTTTGATCCTTGGCCTCAGAAAACATTGTAATGCCTGATTACCAGTGATCCTCCCACACTGAGACAAAGCTCTCAGCTTTGTCTAATTGGTTTTTGACAGGCTAAAGATTTCCAGCCTTAGGTTATCTTTAAACTACCGGAGGACCATGGGAGTAACAACACACCTCTGACTGGTTCATTTCAGGACAAACAGACCAATGCAGAGCTGGCTAAGATCATGGGGGAGTTTGGAGAGATGGGAGAACCCGCCCCCAGTTCCAGCAGCAAGGGTGATGACCTCCTGGCCATGATGGATGGACTGTGACTTTAACTTGATGTTCACTTTGAGTGAGCAGAGTGACTGAGCTGTTAAGCAGGATAAAGTGCTACAATGTCTTACTCAGCAAAGAGGCCTTTTGTCTGGAGCTACAGTGACAACCGTATATATTTAGAACGACAGCTAAGCTCAACAAGAAAGTCTCTCTTTGAGAATTTCACACAATTTTTGTCTCCTGCCACCCACCCAATGTGAGAAATGCAAATAGCAGGTGTAGAAATGTAATATGCGTCTTGCTGTGGGACCATATTCATTTTTTCATATTCATTCTGTCAAGTCACTTTGGAGGTGGCACAGGCCATATCATCACGTATTTCAGCGAATGGTTTGATATCAGTCTTCACAGAAACGTCTGCGAGGCTTTGATGTCACAGACATTTCTGTGACATTTAGATCAGTGGACCGAATAAAATGCCTTTTCTGGACTGTCTTAGTTGTCTAAGAGGACAATCCGTGCACATGGAATTCATTTAAATCTGTTTGATGTGCAACCGAGAGGCGCACGATTTGCATCCACACAACAAGCGCTGATTAAGACAGGGTAATGGAGGAAACCGAAGTGCACTTGCAGTAAATATTTAGTGCAGATCCCAAAACTGGTTTACAGGAAGCCCCGGGACAATTGATGTGTGTATGTTTTTGTCTTTATTTAAAGGGAGTGCAACTACTGTACAGACCGTATATTCTATTGCCCTACACCAACCCTACCCCTAAACCTACCCCTCACAGGAAACTTTGTGCTATTTCAGATTTTCAATACACTCCATTCTGTGTGATTTATAAGTGTTTTGAAAAGTGGGGACATGGGGTAATGTCCTGAAAAGTCACCTTCTCCTTGTAATACCTATGTCATACCTTTGTCATTATACAAATGTATGTCCTCATTTGTCACAAAAATGCACGCACACACACACACACACACACACACAAATCAATACATACAATTCCTTCATAGTAATACAGTACATTGATCCATATATTTATGGATTTTTTTAGAATGTCCTGTCAAAACACAATAGATATACTGTGTCCAAATATTTTGAGGGCCACTATATATTAATATCTAAAAATCAAGAATGTTCCCAAGAAGTTTTGACCATGGAGGTTGTCAGTACATTCAAACCTTGGAGTTTATAAAAACTGGCATGTCAAATGGACAGTGCATGTTCAAGTTACTTCTGTTGCTGGCAACACTGTGGCTCAATTACATTTGCTCAACAGCTTGTCAGTATCATGGTTTCCTGTCTAATATACGTTCCTGTATCAGGGTTTCCTGTGTCTTTTTTGCATTCTGAAATATTCTTAATGAACTTAACTTTGCAGTTATGCCAACATCATACTTTGGTATCAGATGCCACAGAGGTCAAAAAACAGAATATGATGCTTGTTGCTTGCAGATGTGATGTATACATGTAGCTTATACTGTACCTGCTCTTTAGTTAACTTCCTCCATGGAACATTTTAAATAATGTCCTTTTTGATTTGCAATCTTTGTAGCAACTGTAGCAGATTGGCTAGAGGAGGACAGAAAAAGAGGTATTGTTAACATTCTGCTTGCTTTGCTGCTGGCCGTAGAGCAAAGTAGCGTGCGTGTGCACATGCCAGCTCTCATAGGCACTCGCTGTGTAGAGGGAGTTGGGGTTTCTGTGCTATTTTAATTGTAATTTGACATTTTTTATGTTTTTGCGTGAAAGAAAAAAAAGTACTATTGTACAATAAGAACCCCAAAGATTCAAAAAGCTTGTACAGTTATTTTTTGGTACTGAGATATAAATGAAATCCTCCATATGGCAGTATATGTTTCTAGCACTTGTGTTTTCCTCAGTCAACATTTGATTACGGTTTCCAGCACGCTTCTCTGCGAAAACATCTGCCAAGACAATAAAGCTTGGTTTGTAACTACATTTTGATATATGTTATTTTTGTTTATCAATCTTTCTTGGCAAACCAGCTTTCTACAGTACAGACTGCATTGTGCTTGCTTGGTTTTCAGCTTCATATTTCATCACTGCAACTCTTTCTGTGTGTTTGTGTTGTGATAGTTATGAATGATATCATTACCACCATGTTCAATAAGAAGTTCCTGGAGGAGCTGTTCAAACCACAGGAGCTGTACTCCAAGAAGGCCCTGAGGACAGTGTTTGACCGACTGGCTCATGCCTCCATCATGAGACTCAACCAAGCTAGTATGGACAAGGTGAGGACTAATGTCAAGGATGCATTGTCATTTTCTTGAATGAATTGTTTGCAAATCTTTTAGTGCGATCCTTGCATATTTTTCTAGTGAGATCTTTTTACAAATATCTCTTTCTACACCTTCTTTTGAATCATTTTTTTCTTACTTTTGAAATGTGCCAAAGTTATATAGTAACTTCTGTTCACTGAAATTATTGTATTTTGAGCTTTGCTTTAAAATTCTCTTTAAATATTATTGTGTTATAACAAGCGGAATAGTGTTGAATGGCTCCCTCTGGTGAGCAATATGATGAAATATGTAATGGCTTCTTTATTTGAGCACTCATATTGTGCTCTTTTTATACACAGCTCTATGATTTGATGACCATGGCATTCAAGTATCAAGTCCTGCTGTGTCCTCGCCCTAAAGACATCCTCCTTGTGTCCTTCAACCATATGGATGCCATCAGGGACTTTGTGAAAGACGCTCCCAGCATCCTCAGCCAAGTGGATGAAACAAACAAGCAACTCATAGAGGTAGCAGGGTCTCTGTGTAAAGGCACTACTTACAGACATACATTTTCAGGTTATTTTCAGTTATTAAATATATATATTTTTTGATTGTCAATAACGGTTCATTTTAATATATATGTTATTTTATAGTGTATTGTTTATATTTATATTATATAATTAATATTATTATTATGTTTCCATTGATAGGAATATATGAATAATATATGATAATATTATTATTTAATATTTTAACATTATATATACATTTTATGTTAGATGTTTAATATTATTATTAAGCAATTATTTTGCTATCATCAGCTCCACTCTGATTTTGGCTTTGAAAGTGTCTTATCTTTTGCTTGTAACTCCTAGATATATACCCCTTTATCTGGTGGAGAGTTTCATCTAATTAGACAAACACTCCTCATCTTCTTTCAAGATATGCATATTAGAGTAAGTCTTTTCTTTATTTTGACATGTACTTTAATACAGAATTCTCAATAAAAACTCAATTAAAAGTCCAGTAATACTGGTCATGTTCATGAAGGTGAAGAAAATAATAATTTTGACAATGCTAACATACATTTAAATATGATATGAAACTTGTTTTTTAGGTATCAATTTTCCTGAAAGACAAAGTACAGAACTCCAATGGGCGATTTGTTCTCCCCGCATCAGGCCCTGTTCCGTATGGGACGCACATCCCAGGACTCATAAGGTCAGCAGGATCAGATTCTGCTTCTGTTCCTGGAGTTAATGCACATCAATACATTTTTCAAGTATTGATGTGACTACAGTAGAGCATTTAAAAGGCTGAGAATGGCAGGATTTGATTTAAATGTTAGAAATAAATAGCCTCTAAATTTATAGCTGAAATTGTGCATACGTTTGCTCTGAAATCACCTCCTTCATTTAGAACTGACAGAGTCTGACGTTAAGGGTTTAGAGTTAATTGCATTATCAAGACACTTGGACATTTTCTAAATATAGCAGGGTCTGTTCTTAGACTGTGACAGAAAGCAGTTATTTTAATAGAGGTTAGTGGTAGTTGACATATAAGATGTCCATGAACTATTTTTTATCAACATCATGATTTAGATTTAAAATTTGTATATGTATTCTGTAATTGGTCAGCTTTTCTTTTAAAAACATTTTAAAAGTACAAATATTGCATCTCACAATCAATTAACATAATGTCATAAAACTTCATGTATAATAATTATTAATATTTTCTATGTTAATTCCCAGGATGTTCAGCTGTAGTGGTGAGGAGGTGAGAAGGATGCAGTTCCGGGACGGTGGCAATTACAGTGCCGCTCTCCGTGAGGGTGCTTTTGAAATGTATGGTGATCGAGTAATCAAACTGGGCACAAACATGTGAGCATCAACCACTTTATAATAACACTCACTTCTACTAATATTCAATAGTGGAATCATATGACTCACACCTTCTGTGTATCTTTAGATACCGGGGTGTAATTCATCACGTGTTAAGTTTTATCTGCTGCAAAGCGCATCTCTAAATTATTATGTGAATAATTTAGCTGTAAACCTGAGCCAGGTAGCCTTTCACTGGAGCATCAGCTGTACAATTGTCCTATTTGTTCTTTCAGGTACAGTGTGAGCCGCCCTGTTGAGACACACATGTCTGGAACCTCCAAAAACTCCTCACAGCACACCAAGGTAGGATTACGAAATTGATTATACTTTGTAGTTGAAATCTAGTTGACATTGATCAATTGTATCCTTTTCACATATGCAGGTCTCTTTCAAAATATTTTGAAATGTTGGTTCATTAAATAGATCATAAAAACTTATGGTTAAAAAAATGAATGTAATGCTGATGTAATTAGCATGCATATTTTACAAAACTCATGCACTTCTGAAGGTCAACACAACTCCGAATCCTTTGGCAAAAGAAGAGCTGAACCTGCTTGCTAGACTAATGGGAGGTCTGGAGGTGCAGAAATCAACTAATACTGACTCTGGCTTCCGTGTGAACCTTTTTGCCACTGACGAGGAGGAAGAGTGAGTCTTTATTTAAGTTTTGAGACTTTTTTTCTAAAGTCAAAATAGAATCTGACTAGACTCATTAATGGATTTAAGGCTGCGTCTCATTGGAACAAGGTGTGGTATTTCACCTCAAAATAAAAGCAAAATTATGCCATTTGAGTAATATGTCTAGACATTTGATTATTTATTTATTTTTCTTAATATTCTCAGTAATGATTCTCATAACTGTAATACAGTGATTTGTTTTTTTTTATTACATTGTTTCAGCATTGTATATATTACCGTTTGGGTAAGATTTCTTTCTTTCTTTTTAATTAATACTTTTTTTTCAACATGGATGCATTAAATTGGTCAAAAGTGACAGCAAAGACATTTATAATGATAAAAGATTTATATTCAAATAAATTATGTTCTTTTAAATTTCTATTCATCAAAGAATCCTAAAAATGTATCACGGTTTCCACAAAAATATTTAGCAACACAGCTGTTTTCAATATTGATGATAATAAGAAATGTTTCTTGAGCTGCAAATCAGCATATTAGAACGACTGCTGAAAATTCAGAAAAAAACTGCATTGTAAAATATATTCAAATTGAAAACACTTATTTTAAATTGTAATAATATTTAGCAATATTAATATTTTATTGTATTTTTGATCAAATAAATGCATACTTGGTCAGAATAAGAGACATGTTTTTTTTAAACATTCTATGATCTTAAAAATCTTAATTATTCCAAACTTTTGACCAACAGTGTCTATATGCAGTTTAATATATGTGTGTATGTATATATCAAAAATTAGCTTTTAAAACATTTTCTTCATGTAAATATAATGGATTACTTTTTTATTGTGGAGTAAAATGTGACCCTCCCATGTTCTTGACAGGTTCTGTGAGTCAAACATCACTGTATTTTTTTTTTTACATATCAGTGAATTGGATGCTGTTCATTTTGCATGAGATTTCATACAAATATTGAAATACAGCTTATCCCTACAGGGAAGCTTTAATATCAAGACCGGATGAGCTTTCCTATGAAGTTATTAATATCCAGGCAACAAAGGTAAGGGTTAATGTTTGTATGCTTGTACAGTTATACACTTGTGCTGTTTGATCCTTGGCCTCAGAAAACATTGTAATGCCTGATTACCAGATTACTCTTAGCTTTGTCTAATTGGTTTTTGACAGGCTAAAGATTTCCAGCCTTAGGTTATCTTTAAACTACCGGAGGACCATGGGAGTAACAACACACCTCTGACTGGTTCATTTCAGGACAAACAGACCAATGCAGAGCTGGCTAAGATCATGGGGGAGTTTGGAGAGATGGGAGAACCCGCCCCCAGTTCCAGCAGCAAGGGTGATGACCTCCTGGCCATGATGGATGGACTGTGACTTTAACTTGATGTTCACTTTGAGTCATCACATGGTTTGATATCAGTCTTCACAGAAACGTCTGTGAGGCTTTGATGTCACAGGCACATGGAATTCATTTAAATCTGTTTGATGTGCAACCAAGAGGTGCAGGATATGCATTCACACAACAAGCGCTGATTAAGACAGGGTAATAGAGGAAACCGAAGTGCACTTGCTGTAAATATTTAGTGCAGATCCTAAAACTGGTTTACAGGAATCCCCAAGACAATTGGTGTGTGTATGTTTTTGTCTTTATTTAAAGGGAGTGCAACAAAGTCAGGTATTTCAAACTCAAGAAATTAAAATGTCTTCGAGTGTGCAATTGCTGCATTATGTAATGGGGCAATGTATACATGAAACCACCTTCCATGGAAAGAAAGCAATGCAATATGTATGGTGAATGAAATTGTTTATTTTTCATAACCATAATAGAGCTTATTTATTGAGGTTAATGTACTGAATGTTCATTTGTGTCTGTTTACTGTTTCATTATATTGAAATAGATCTGAATGTGAAATAAAGATCTTTTTGAAAATAATGACTTGTCAATATACCAAAGTTTCATGTTTGTTTTTAAATAATACTTTCTTGTAATAGTTCACACAGAAATGAAAATGTACTCACCCTCAGGCCATCCGACATGTAGATGAGTTTCTTTCTTTACTGATACAGTTTTTGAGAAATGTATCACTTTCTCACCATGGTTGAATGGGTGCCGTCAGAATGAGAGTCCAAACAGCTGATAAAAACATCACAATAATCCACATGACTTCAGGCCATCAATTAATGTCAAAGAAGAAACAAACTCCATCTTGGATAGCCCGAGGTGAGTAAATTTGAAGGGAATTTTAATTTTTGGCTGAACTATTCCTCTTGGGTGAACATAAGAATGAAAAGCATTAAACTTTAAAAGTTCATAAATTAAAAGATGCAGTCGCACAAAATCAAATGTAGTGATTCTTTGTGAACACTAGATGGCGCGATGGAATAATGCAGCATTGTTGACATTTTGGGAACAAAAAGATTTCCTGGGTTGACACAAATTTAGTTTTTTTTTTTTTTTTTTGCACAGGAATGCATATAGAAATAACTCAGTAGTCACTAAGAAGTAGTCACTTCATTGTAACCTTGTGACGTTTGATACGCTAGAGTTTTAGTGTATAAATGTAAAAATTTTGAATTTTGTAAGAAATCGGACTGTGGTTTTATGTAAAGGGAATGTAAACTTTATGAAAAGAAGCTCCTGTTGTTGCATTTTCCCCCTAACTCTCCAAGTCTCTCCAAGTGCTGTTCAAGCACTTGATCTGTTATGACTTTTTCAGACAAGCAATACTGAAAACCCCTGTGTTCATTTGAATAGTGTGGGAGACGAATTTCTCACCCACACAGTTATGAATGAATCGCTGTCACAGTCGTTCCTCCATGGGAAAAAGCTTCTAAAATTCATTACCTGTGCTTTTTTTGACTCCCACAGCACAAAATATTTTGACATGATGTGACTGTGTGCACTGCTGCTGCATTTGTGGGACACTTGATCTTTCAGGACATCATGAATATTATTAAAAACAACAACAACAAAAACACATTTATTCATTTTCATTCAAGTCATGTCACATATACACTGCAAAAAATAAAAAAAACTATTTGCACTCAGAAATTCTTGATAAATCTGTAAATAATATTAAAACAAAACAAATGATAAATTATATTAATTTGACACATTTTATTATAACCTCATTTTTATATTTTAAATATATTGTTATTTATAACCCTTATTCCAAGAACAAGAGATGGTTATTTGAAGGAAAGTAAAGAAATAGAGGAAATGAGACAGACTATAAATGCTAAGTCCAGATGTTATAGCAAGGTGTGCGCTCGTGAAAATGTCCTTGCAGTCTTTTTCAAATCCACTACTTCTTTATCAGACATGGGCACTAGTAATGTATGATTCACAGTTTCCACCCCACACACCGTGGGTTGTCCGATGTTTAGCCACAGGCTTATAAAAGTGTTTCATGTGGTTTAAGGCAAAGGCCATGCTGAGTCAAGACAGGAAGACAGCACAGCCTTAAATCAGTTACTGCCCTTTAAAACACTCTCTGTTTGACATGCAGCTCTGCACCAGCCCACTGAATTGAAACTTGCTGTTGTGGGTGAAGCTGGTTCGTTTTGGGGGATCTAAAATTGGATACATTCTCGAGGGTCTTGTGCATGCAAGAAACCTCAGAATTTTGCCGTACTCGCATGAATACAGGCAGATTATTGTTTATCTATTTATTTACCCTTTAGCCTTGGGTGTAATCCATGTGTCATTTTTATTTCACCTGGCACTGATTCTTGAGACATGTCTCACAGCTTTATCTGCAGTTTCTTAAAGTACCAACATTTACACTATTAAATTAGTGAAAGATTATTTCTTAACACAAATGCAACATATTTGATTGATTTTCTTTATTTTAGCAAAATGAAGACATATAGCCTATTATGACTCATAACCTTAACCCACCTGTCCTCTGTTAATAACTCAGAACTTGAATATTATACTAATACACATGCATATTTTAAAGAAACATTACTGTGATGGAGCTGAAAAAACTTTGGTGTCAAAACAATTTTCACTTAAATTGCTAGTAAAGTTCACAAGTAATTACAAAGAAGCAGCAAGTAACATTCAATTAAAAATGTAATTTTGAAGCAGAACTGCAATCATCTGTTTTATTTGCAACGTTGAAAAATCGTTTTTACGATGTAAATGCATTAATTCAATGAGTGAATACTACATTTCTAAATATTTATAATAAATATCGACACATTATTTAGTTTCTGGCAGCTGTTGAGCCATATTGTGTGATGATAAGCAAAAACAAACATGTGAGGAATGGAAAAGGCTGGAGTTTGCACAAACATGTATTGTAAAACTCTTCAGATTAGTCCAAAATAATTTCTTACATGCATAAACTTTTTTTTTTTTTTTGGTCTTGTTTTGTTCCAGTACTCAAGAATAAATGTATCTATCAAGTTTTGTTAGTACTGCTTAATTAGAGTCCGTTTTTATTTCTTAATTACGTTTATGCCAATTGATTTCCATCGTAAAAAATAAGAAACTCTTCTTCTTCTTAACAAAACTGCACATTTATCAAAATTTAAAAAAAGTTATGCAGTAGTAGCCTACTCTACTGCTCATTTACATAGCGTATGTTTATCATTCCACACTAAGCGAAGAATGCCAAGCTCAAGAACGCACGTAAAGGGGCGGGAACACCAAACGACATTTTCTATTGGCCGCGCCGATCCGTCACTCACAGCATGTGCGTCATTTCCGTTGTCAGGTGGTGCTGCTATGGAAAGATGTGATCAGTTGTCCTAAGAAGGCTTTTCCCTCAAAACCCCTGTCGGTAATCGTGAAATTTCTTCAGTTCGCTTGAAACAAACCGCTTCGTGGTGGAGTGTAAATGTCGGTGCAGCCCTGGTGAACATTTAATCGGCCCGAAATGAGTGGGAATTAGTGTACGACAGAGGATTCCCTCGGCGGTTTTGGTAAGTTGTTAAATGGCCCGTCGGTCGACTGAGGAGATTTTCACAGTCCGTTAAAGGGACACGGTGAACTCATTGGCTTTCTGGGCTTTAATTTCGGCTTGAAATTCAAATAAACGCGCTTTTGCAACGATTAAGTTGTCGTCTTCTTTAAATATGTTGCGATATAGACTAACTTATATAAGCAAGAATACAAAGTAAAATAAGCAAGTTTCGCTTGCATTTGCTAGACGACTCGATTAGGCTCGTTGTATTAATAAGAGAGCGAACTTTGTTTTCTTACACACGCGTATTTAAGTAATATATGTATATATATGAGTGATTATTGTTATAATCTTACTTGAAGCTGGTTGACAGCGTTCGTCGGTGTACGCCGTGTACTCCGTTGTCATCACATTGCAGTGCTCCTGTCTCTATTCCCTCTGCTGTCATTTTAACTATAAATGGAAGCGTTAGTCACTTGTTTTTACACACCAAAAATCTTAGACATCCAAATATCAAACAAAACGTGAGCAAAAACGCGCATCTGATACGGGTTGCATCAAGCTGCCAGTCGGTGCTCGGAGGTTGCCAGGTTCTCAAGTTTGCGTGCAGTGACAGCTAGTATATTTAGATCTAATAAAATATTAAAATATTCTGCTACTGAGTGGTTCAGAGCGTTTAAATCATGCAGGTATGATATTTCGCTTCTCTGATGACTGTGATGTGTGTATAATGCCATAAGATGATCACACTGACTGCATCCATTCAGTCTGAAGAACGCAAATTGAGTAATCCTTCTATGAGTAATCCTTCATATAACTCGATTTCATCATCAGCATGTTGTTGTTAAAGGGATGGTTCGCCAAAAAACGAAGGTTTGGTCATCAGTTAATTATGTTTTTAAAAACCTATTTCATTTTCATTAGTTCAATGGAAAACAAAAGATGATGTTAGTATTAGAGATTAGCAGCCTTGGTCACCATTCACTTTCATAGCAAGGTTCTCTCTCTCTCTCTCTCTCTCTCTCTCTCTCTCTCTCTCTCTCTCTCTCTCTCTCTCTCTCTCTCCCGCTCTCTCTCCCTCTCTCTCTCTCTACATACAGACGAAGCATGT